AATGGAATATAGCTTATATAAAATGTGTGTTCAGAGAGGAGTAAAAGAACCAAATAGCTAAAATTCATGGTATGGATGTTGCGTGTGTATGTGTGCGTGCATGCGTGTGTGTGTGTGTTGTCTGTGCCCATGAATGTTCAGGGTTTTTGAGTTGTGGCTATAAAAGCACACAAACTCCAGTCTGTTCTTGACTGATGAAGATGATTGTTCTCTTTTCCAAACATCTCAATGACTCCCTCTCATTTGTTATGTCGTTGTCTTTCACAAAGAGAGTCTTTACTTCATCAACCCTACTTTTCCTAATCGTCCCAATACCTCTAAATTACCTTAGGTCAGAGGAGATTTTCCCCGAACTCATCTAAATTTCACATATCTCTGACTTGCAGAGACTTGAGAGATGAGTAGATGATTGTCATAAAATAAAGTCTGCTTATCTTTAGCAAAGACTCACAGACCCTTTCTTGTTCTTAAAAATCCACAGCTCATCTCGCCACTGATACTGCTCCAAAGCAACTATTGAGAATTATGTAGCTCAGGTCTTTCTCAGATATGTCTGCCAATTTTAAATGTTTGAAATAATAGAGAATGTCAATGTTTCCTAGAGGTGGAAGCTTCCAGAAGGTGGAGGAGACTACTCTCCTTATTCCTAAAACCACCAAATCACCAATGAGAACTCCAAAGCTCTGGTGTCTAGAAACCCTTAGGAATACCCAACCCCTGTCTCTGAAGGCCTTACTACTGTCTAAGAATTACGCTGGCAGTAACAAGCATTGCTGTTGACATTTTGAACAAAGTTAACAGCATTTGTTAATTATTCCAGGTAAATACCCATATGTAAAAGTATATATTCGACAAGTGAATGAATGACTGAATGGGGCCAGAACCCAGAAAAAGTTTCCAGGGAATTAATGACCACACAAGTAAGATAATTAGCATATTGAAATGGTAGGTAGAGGTGAGGTTAAGTACCTGTCTATAATCTACCCTACAGTCCAATTCTCAGTCTCTCTATCATTCTCTCTCTCTCTTTCTCACACACACACACACATAAACACACGGACCCACAATTCTTAGAAGAATATAAGTACCCCCTGCAGGATCTCTTATGTCAATACAATATCACAGGAGAGAGTAAAATCATCTCCTTTGTCCCCCCAGAATGAATGATGAATGTACCATATACTTCTAACTTCATTCCCCATAGCTGTTCCAAGGGAAATGTGATCAGGCTGAGAGCTGGATGGTGGCACGTGAGAATTTCCTGAGATCAGATGACAAGGACTCCTTAGACAGCCT